TTTCAAATTTCTTTTATTTGCATGGCATCAGCAGCAGAGATTTCGTTTTAGCTTGTGTTGTTGTAGCGGCAATATAAATTTGTGGGGTGCATAAGACCACATTTTAATATCTTTAAAAATATTATTTCTTATTAAAATGTTATAATTATTAAATTTACTAAGGTGTGTTATTCCGCCATAATGACGGTTAGCCGAAATTTCACATTTATGTTGGGCGCCAAAAATCGGTTCAATATAATATAATGCCTACGCATATTATAGAACAGCTCTCTTTGAATCACCAATTTATAAAGCAAAAACAAATTAAATATGGAGAACTTAAAGAGGGTATCGCTACTGTCGATAAATACATCAAGGCTGTCATATTATTTCGATTTTCTACACAACCGATAGTAGTAAGGAAATCACTAGCGTTATATCTTTTCGATATTCAAATTATACTCTAATGTATTACGGAGAAATCGATATCAATACTATTGATACTATAGCCAGGGTTATAATAAAATATAGAATATTATATCGATTATGATTTGGAAGCCCTAGCAAGTAAGACGGAAGATATAAAAAGGAAAATATCAGATTGGTCATAAATTTCTTTTTTCGACATACAAACTACTCTCTATTATATAAGTATTATATGGATTTCGGTATATGGAGAATAGTTTGAAGATTATCAGCAAATAGTGGATCCCATAAGTCGAATCTCAATTCTCAATGAGCATTATATTAAAGTTGTTTAAAGCTCAATGTAAGATGTCCATTGTTATGAAAAAGATCTTTTCATAATCTTAAAATTTGCTACAGTTGCGATCTGAATACATATTTCACTTAGAGCGCTTTCACACACGAAAACTTTTGTTGTTCAAACTTGTAGTTAAGAAGAAAGATAGCTAGCTGCTGGTTGGCGGGCAACGCGCTTACACGTAATTAGGCAATCCATTTGATTATAAGGCTCTTTCACTGGTTCTCGGTCAACTGAATATTCAAATATGTTCCAAATTATGAATTTTATCATCTATTTTTTGTTCGTAATATACAAATATGCATAATATGTATAATAAAAATTATTTATAAAATGGTGAATAAGGATAAGGAAAATTTTTTTAATGAAAAATATGATATGAAAGGGAATGCAGGAAATTACCCGACTCGTGTCGCTGGTATGAATGCAATGGACAAAACCGCAAGAGAATTTCAACATAATTAGTAGCAAAAGTTTTCGTGTGTAACTCCAGTCTCAGTGAGGTTATTATGTTGCCATGACTGAAGTAAAAGTGAGAAAGGAAAGATTATTTTGCAGATGCTCTCTCTTTAAATAAGGTTTGTACTACTATTCTTCCTTCCACCAAACTACAAGCCTGAATAATGAATTTTTTATTACCTTAACTTATTTCTTTTGCTATTTAGTTTCGTGAGTTAAGTTCTCTCGACAAAATTGAATATTTTGAAAAAATCAAATACATTTTTAAGAAAGATTTTTAAATCCTATTTATTTTATCATCGCTGTAACGTCTTTTGAAATCGAAAAAAATATTTTCAATATCGAAATTAATAAAATAAAATTATTAAGATTCTGATCAATATACAGATTTTAATCAAGATTCAGTACATACTTGTATTTTTCGAATAGCCGTCGCTTTGTCTGAAACTTAACGTCTACTGACATTCTGCAAATTAGTTTACAATTTCTTTTTAGGTCTTTGTATACTCTTCTTTAAATAACTGATCTCCTGTGATTTATTAGTTATTCAGCCCATACGCCTTTGTAGTAATCAAGGTACCGTAACAGCGTGAGAGAGCGCAATACGCTATAGGATGCGCTCTGGAAGAATAATTCTCACACAAACTCGATTTGCCTACTGATATGTATACCCTGAACTGGGTATGTTTAGTTTGCCACACCTAGCTAGAAGGAAACGTTGGAGACCCTATAAAATGTATTTATAACTGATCAGCGGGATGGGCTGAGTCAATTATACATATGTATATGCAGATTTTGCTTACAACTTTTTCTACCTAAGAAGCTGCTCATTTTTCGGCACCGATAATATCGGACCAGTATAGCATATAGCTGCCATACTAACTGCACGATCAAATCAAGTTCTTGTATGGCATTTTTTTTATTTGACAAGATATCTTCACGAATTTTAGCAGTGATAATTATCCAAAGCAACGTTACAATAGCTGAATAAATTTTTCAGATCAGACCACTATAGCACTTAGCTACCATACAAACTGAACGATCGGAATCAAGTACTTGTATGTAAACGGTTTTATTTGTGATGGGTATTAAAGCTTCGGTGCAACCGAAGCTAACTTTTTATTATTTTTCTTTGACTGTAGCGTAAACACCTTGGCTTAGTCCCGTTATGGCAATTCAACTCTTGCTCGTCAAACGCCAGCAGCAAGAAACGGTGCTAAGTCTGGAATTTTTTCAGCGCCATTATTGGAAATTTACGATAAACTCGTTCATTTTTCCGAAAGTCGCGTACGCGGACACAACGCAATCTGGGTCTTTCGCTAATATATCCTTCAGTTCTACAACTTTCTAAATTAAATATTATATATAAATATATATATATATTTTTTATATAAATGTGAATTTATAGTGCAGCGTTTTAGAGAGTCTAACAATTGAATTTCGAGTGTAACTTTTATAGAACGACAATAAAATTATTGTTTTTAAAGTGTGAATTCTTAATTCATTTTGCGATTTTGCTGTGCATTTTTAATTTGTCATTCACTGGTGAAGTGTCGGTGTTCTATTGAGAAAAAAAAACACTAAAAAAACGAAAATTCGTCAAAAGTGTATTTTGCGTACTTTTTTCAACTAAAAACTTAACTTAAAACAATTTGTTCAGCGTGAAATCTTGTGAATTATATTTATTTTACATTTAATTGAAATTGAAGGATATTAATCAAGCCAAAATGTTCAGCAGCCACGCGTCTAGCTTCCTTGGAAACCCACCGTCCATCTTTGATTTCTCAGAGAAGGCGCATAACCTTTACATTGAGTGAGTAGCCTAACATTTAACATATAATATATATAGGTATATATCGAGAATTTCGACTGAAATTCAAAAGTAAGTGGAATTTATGAGCGCTATTAAATTATAGAAATTAATTTCTACTTTCATTTTCTCTTTACATTTAAGCGCCAACAACTAAAAGCGCTTATTAAATTACTTGTACATTATCTTTTTGCGATCCATTACTTCGCCGTTATCGACATTGTCTACGCGGCATTGCATTGTGTGCATGGCGCAGTGTTGCATTGATTGGCAGGGTGGTATGCATTGAAAAGGGAAATGAAATATTCGCAAATCGATTAATTTAACAGCGCCACTCCATTTCTCTTCTAATTTATTTGAATCCTTGCATTTCCTGCTTTGTCACGTTGTCTCCTTTTAATTTCCACACTATTCGCCCTATTCGCTCTGTCGTTTCGCTGGCGTCTGTCTTATCACTGATTTCTCCACTGGCATTCTCATTTATTTTATTTTTGTTGTTTGCCACTAAGTCTGCTGTTCGTTCAAATGCTTGTCATCGTTTTTATTCTTTGGCAGTTTCTTTTCGGTACTGGTTGTTTTTGTGAATTTTTCAATTATCTTCTACACTCTCATTTCGTACGGTGATGGTGACTACTTCTACAATTCATGATGCCAATATCAAGAGTTCTTAAAACTTTGCTAAACTTCTGTTTGTAGAATACAAAGGTGGTTCTTAAAAATCAAAAAAAAAATTGGGTCCGATTAGTACAAAACAGGGGTCAAAAATTTAGATTTTTTTTATAGAAAATGCGGAAATACATAATAAAAATATTTTTTAGTTAAAGCACAAAATCGATTTTACTATAGTCAAGGGTATTCAAACTTTGAGTTTACTAGGGTGGTTAAAAATAACGCATATATTATATTTTCTTAGTTCAACACTATCAATCGGTAAAAATATGTATATATCTCACACATATAAATTTTTAGTCCCGTTTTGTAAATATCAGGTGACAAAAATGTTATTAATTTTTTTTATAGAAAATGAAGAAATAAAACCTAAAAATAATTTAGATTTTATTTTATAGAATTCTATATGAAGAAATAAAAAACTAAAATATTTTTTTAGCTAATGCATAAAATGTATATCAATATAGTCAAGGCTTTAAAATTTTTAAAATACTAATGTGGTTCTTGAGAAATCAAATAAATAATTTTTTCTAATTCTAAATCTCTTTATCGTTAATACCATACGTAAATATGAAACTTCGACAGTAGTGAACAAGTTGTATATTTTTATAGAGCGCAGTCAAGGAGACTATATATATTAGGCTTTGATTTAAATTTTTAAATCTGGTCCCACAGTGATCAAAGATCGAATATGCCTATTTCGGCTTGTTAAATAGATTTTTTTTTCCAGTAGCGCTGAGCAAATGCCCTCCTCTTTCCAAAGAGATGTTTGTCAGAAGCTTGGATAGTAAAAAAAAAATATTAATTTTTAATCTTAGTAAGAAATCTAAATTATGACCACATATATATTTTCCTTAGTCATCTATACAGGAGACCCTCTCTTTTCTTCGCTTTTCCAAAAGTAACTGTGAGAAACCTATTCATCTCATGGAGAAAAACTAATTTTAATTTCTTAGTCTACATAGAGACGTATAGAGTTTGACCACTGTGCTATCTAATTTTCAACACCGTCACCAACACTTGCCAGCAATATTTTTTTCCGCTGAGATATTGATTTTGGGCATCAGATGGAAAAACGTTTAATAGTTAGTTCGTCGTTCAGACCTCGAAAGTTTATTTTAAAAATTATTTTTCTTTTAACTTAAGGACAACCCTCATGCACTTATGCATGCAGCACTCTTTCTGTGGACTTATATTAGTTAAAAACATATGTACCAGAGTCATCTAAACATACATACATACAAACAATATGATTCAATATTTATGTGGATTCTAATCGAGACCTTCTGTTAAAAATTTTCCAATCGCTTCTCGTTACAGTGCATTTGGCATGAGTGATAAAAGCAGCACCACCACTAGCCTTCCCAATAGTCCGATTCATACATCTACACCGGGCAACAACAATGGCTGCAACAATAGTTCATCGCTACTCAATAATAGTAATAGCAATAGCAGCACAGGTCTTGTCAATGGCGGCAACAACAACAATAACAATGGCCCACCAAGTTTATGTAATGGCAATAACAACAACAATACGTGCAGCGCCAATCGGAATGTTGTCGACAACGAATCATCATGCTTCCGCATGGACGCCGACATGCCCTTCGGTGAGAAGGAACCCGATCCAGACAATATCAAAATGTTTGTTGGCCAAGTGCCAAAATCCATGGATGAGGCACAATTGCGTGAGATGTTCGAGGAGTATGGTCCAGTGCATTCGATAAATGTGCTACGCGATAAGGCGACTGGAATCAGTAAAGGTGAGTGCAAAAGCGAATAAGCGTAGATGAGTGAGCTTTAGAGCGTGAGTGCGGGATAACGGAGTGGGGAATAAGCTGTAAGCTGCACAAGTGGCTGGATTTCAGTAGAATTGAGTGAAATAGTCGAAAGTGTTGAAAAAATATTATGGCAGCTTAATTGGTACTTCATATTGTTAATACGAGGGAGTTTGAGGTAATAAAGGCCTACGAAGTACTTTAACTTAAAACATTATTATTATTTATCTTTTAAATATATTTTTTTCTTTAAAATTAATTAGTAATTTCGCACTTTTGACTCTCCAAAATTTGTGTACAAGAATCGGAGCTCCGCTTATTTCGAAACGTTTGTATGTCGTGGGAACCAGTATTAAATTCGCTTAAGATGCTTCTTAGTGAGATAACTCCTTCCGCTAGACTTCTTTACTAATTTCTGCTCAGTTTAAATAATATTTTGTTATTAGTTATAGTTTATTTGAAGTGTTATAATTCAAAAATTATTCACTTAATCGAGTTTTAGTTATTGGACTCCGCTATTTATTCGATAAAATTATGCGGTTCTGAAAGTATAGTTAGGCTGGGAACACTGGTTATAAATACAAAGTATGTTGCCAAAAAAGCGAAATAAACTTTGGCGATAGACGTTGGGAGACTTATTATAATATATTTTTGTATTCGTTTCGAAGTCGATTCGATAATATTTCCGTCAGTTTTGCCTGCTAGCTGTAGTTAGCCGTCTAAAAGTTATTCAAAATGGAAGCAATTATTACAACAATTAATTATGTTCGCTGATTCTGATTCGGTGGTTGTTTAATAGAAAAGGATGGTTGATAAGACACCTCCCCACTGGTTGTCCCACTTCAGCTCCTTTATTTTCTGTTAGATTGGTCAACTTGGATCTTTATGTCCTCGCAGTAAAATGGGTAATCGCAGGGTATTCATACCCTGCGATAGTGTTTTTTATGCCAATTTCACCTTGTCTGAAACCTTTACATTCACAAGGATACGTCAGAGACCCTGTATTATATATACATATATAAATGGTCAGCAGTTTATATAGGCGAACTAGTCTTTCAGTTTTTGAGATATCGATCTGAAATTTTGCACACGTCATTTTCCCGCCAAGAAGCTGCTCATTGTAAGATGTCGCTGCCAAACAAACTGACCGATCTAAAACAAGTTCTTGTTTGGAGTATTTTATATTTGTGAAGGGTATTATAGTTTCTGTTAACGTTTTTTCTTGTTTTGGTTTTGCCGCGTAGACCCATTTGGTCTAGTATGCCTATAAATTAGCTATTCTATGATCGGGTAGCCAAATTATGGTCTTTAAGTTTCTAATTTCAAGCCTGTTGACTGTCACTCACCCTATTCTAGCGCAATTAGTTTTTTATTTAATTTCGTATTGACCCAAAGAGCTACTTGTAGCATGGTTGACGCCTTGACGCCTTATTTTGAACTTAAGACCACAGCATAAAAGATCGTCGAATAATAGTGAAAATAAAAACATTGCAAATATATAGCGGCAGAAAGTTAATCTCTTGATATGACATTGCCTTTTAGCAACTGTCTTCAATATATGATCATGTAAATAGGTCGATGAAAGACAAACCGACGAAAGGTATAGAGTAGATTTAGGCTTCAAAAAATCGGAATTTCTAGATTCGCTAATGAATCAAATTCTCGAATTCGTCAATCATTGAGAAGTAACTTAGTTTCCTTATAGAAAAGGGATTTTTCTCGAGTTCGAGGAGAATTTGTTGTACCTTTTGTCTACATTTACAATCAACATATTCAATGCTGTCGTGAGATTGTCGCAGCTGACTGTGTATTTCAGTCACGCGCGCTAACAATTGTTAGAGTTCTTCTTATCATAAGAAAATAACTCAAAAATTATGAATCAACAGAACGTAATTTAACAAATAATTATTAACAATAAAATCAGAGGTCGCCGGTCGTCAACGCTACCAACCATAACTAATTACGATAATTATTTAGATTTCACTTATATTTAGCAAATTTCGTTATGCTGTTATACATACGAAAATCTAGTATTGTGGTGAAAGTATGCGCGGCATTCGGAGAAAAAAAAACCTATGTCAACCTTAATGGTCTGGAAAGAAATAAATGAGTGCAGAAGGTTTATTACTCGCTCGCATGGTTTTCATGCTTTTATCAACATATGCTTGTGCGATATATGTATGTATGTGTTTTGGTTGGCTAAGCAAATACAGCACAAACTTATCAACACATGTCGATGATTATGATGTACTATTTAAGTGAGGTTATGTCTTGAATACATGAATGGAGGAAGTCCATTAAAATTATTTTCGCACAACAAAGGTTTCCCACTTTTTACTGCTGCATTTGCGAATTGCCAAAGCAAAAGTCATTCAATTACGTGTATGTGCGGCTTTCTCTTCTTCTCTTCTCCGCTTCTGCTACTTTTTTCCCTCATTTTTGCTTTTTCTTCTCTTTTTTTTTCATGGAAGCGTTTTATTCATTTCGTATGTTTTTCTTTTTATCATTGTCAATTCACTTACCAGACATTTGTCATATCGTTCACAAAAACACACAACAACAATAATACGTGAAAGCTTCCTACTCTTCTCTCCTTTAACCCACCACTCTGCTTTTATGTACAAGTATGTTTTCCTTTTATGTCATTGAAATGCTTGCAATTTAGGGTATTTTTAGAGGTCAAACCTTACAAAAGCAGCACAAACGAGTGAATACCGGGGGAGATAGGAAGCTCTGCTTTTATTACTTTAGCATGGAAATGTCGCAGAAGTTAAATTTAAATGTGGAAGCCAACAAATTACATGGCAAATAATTTCCAATGACGGCTTGCTCGTTTAACTTTATTTTTTTTTTTTTTACGGCAAGAACTAATTAGTTAGGGGTTTAAAAACTTCAAATTAAGGACTCTGAAATAATTAATTGTGATTGATATGAATTATGGTGCATACTATTATTTATTTTGGAAAACATTTTTTAATGTTATATAAAAAACTATATACAAAAGAGGAAAACTCATTTTTTTCCTAATATACCCAATTATAAGAGTTTGAATAACGCCGAGAAACCTCTCAAATGGCTTATATCGAAATATACTATTTTCCACTATGATATATCTCGTATGCATTTTCAACTATTTTATACTTTCTTAATGCCAAAATAATAATATGTTCTATCACGTAAAAAAAGAAAATAAATGTCTTCTACGACTCTCAATGTTTTTGTCTAAAGGGAACAAACTAGAAAATTTATTAAGTCCAGCGGTTGAAAGATAAAATACTTAATGTTCTTGCACTCCGACATTTTTTTGACATCTCTCTTCAATTAATCAACCAATCTAACAACTAAACAAGAAAATATGTTAATTTCGGCTGCAACGAAAGTATAATATCTTTAAAAGATTAAAAATGTTCCATCCAACAAACTTAATAAACCCTTTTCAGGGCATAAAAAGGTGAAACATAAATAAAAGAAGGAGGATTGCGGTTGCCATCTATGTCTGTTAAAGCAAAAAGCTGCCTAGTTACTTGCTTTTTGTACAAGGTTTTCTCAGTCATTCAACACTTGAGTCTCAAGTTCGGTGTCACAGGGCTTTATGGACTTGATGATCTTAACGATTATAGAGTTGACTTTACTAATTCGTACAAATACAAGTTGTTCCAGATTTCTACAGACTTTACCCAGCAGACAAGTTTTATATATATTTTTCTACAGGGTTTAGGTAGAACGTGAGGCCCCAACATAGTACTCGTAGCAGTTTAGTTATCAAAAGAGAAGCAATCGAAAACACTTATAATATATCTTGAATAGTTTATGCGTTATTCGTAGCTCTTGAGATTCCAGGTAATTTAATCAAGCCATTTCTGTCCACTTCAAAGTATCCCCCCTGCAACTCTCTTATGCAAACGCTTGATGCAATCCCCGAAGCTTAAACTCTTATACTCTGAGCTGGGTATGATCATGGCGACTGCATTATTTCCTTTCGCATACTGAAACGTCTTCGTCAGTGCTTTCTGAGTCTATTGAACGGAAAATAGTCGCAGGTAGCCATATCAAGTCAAATCGGTGATTGTTAGATGTTGTTTGTACAACTTCCGTTCAAAAACTCTCGAATTATTATGGCATTATGTGTCTGCACGTTATCACGGTACAAAATCAAGGATTGATTGTTAACTTACAACACGATCTTTCTTCGAGATTTTTTTTTTAGGCGAAATCGAATTGCTTGAAGGAAATGTCTTGAATGGAACTTAATGAGACGCTGATCCCTTGGCGGTCCTCTGTTGATTGATTTACTATCCATGTCTTCTTAAATATTAAACGTCGCTGAACACGAGTCCACTTCTAAAACATTAATATGTGCTACATATGGCCAAGATCTTGATCAAATTAGTTACTAAGATATGTGGGTTAAATAAATCGAAAACACACTTCTCTGCTCGTTATCTCTGAACTCTATGCTATTGCCAAGCACTTTACTTTTGAAGCAAGTGCTCCAGTTGAATTTAATATAAAAGAATAGGTGGTAAATTGCTAAATAACCTAATGGCTATGATTTAATTTATACCAGTTGTCTTTTCGATTCGCAATTTGAAAAATCAGCCGGATCGAAGACCACTGACAGTGTTAAAATTATTTTGTGAATAGAAATTAGTTTTTTAATTTTTAATCGTGCATACCACATTTAAACTTGAGTATGACTCATTCAATTATCACCATCAATTTCATCGGAAATGAAATAGCCCAACAATAAATTTTTGTTAAATCGTTTTAAGAACAATCTCCCCTGATAGTAAAATACATATGGATTTATGTCTTTATAAGCACATACATATTATATATCTCTGATACTTATACCAAAACTACAAAATATAAAAACTAACATACATACATACTTGTACATTTAACTTTAAGCTTTTTTGTCATTCACCATAATTTATTCAATATCACCTCAAGGTGATTTATTGACTGCATTGCAGTGCCTGTGA